GGGCCCGGGCTGGATTCGAACCTGCCACCTTAGGTGTATGTGGCTGGCGCCTTGGCCACTTGAGCCACAGGCACCCGGCTGAAATGATTTCTTTCAATTGATTCCAATGTTACTAAACAGGCTCATTCAATTTTTATTAGAAGGATCAAAATGCAGACTCATCTTTTCTTTTCTAACTGTACCCCCAGCATTTAATTCTTTTTTGCTTGTTTTGGTATGTTTATTCTTTTGAAAATTGTGGTAAAATATACGGAACATAAAGTTTACCCTTTTAACCATTTTTGAGTATACAGCTCAGTGCTGTTAAGCACATTCATGTTGTTGTTCAGCCATCACCACCACCAATCTACACAACATTTTTCATCTTGCAGAACTGAAGCTTTATATCCATTAAACCACCCTCGGCTACCATACGTCTACCTTCTGTATCTATGAAGTCGACTACTCTAAGTATCTCCTGTAAGTGGGATCATACAGTATTTATCCTTTTGCGCCTGGCTTATTTCACTCAGCACCATGTCTTCAAGCTTCATCCATACTGTAGCATGGTCAGCCTTCCTTTTTAAGGCTGAATAATATTCCATTGTATATATATGCCACATTTTGTTCATCCATTCCTTTTTCCATGGACACTTGGTTTGCTTTCATATCTTGGCTGCTGTGAAAAATGCTGGCATAATCTTTTGGGCATATAACCAAATATGGAATTACCTAGCCTGTTACTCTTAATACTCTCTACTGCCCAGTTCTCCCTTGAAAACTGTTTTGTAAGTTAATTAGCCTGTAAGCACTGAAAGAATAATTGCTTTTTTTTTTGAGACACAGTCTCGAGCTGTGGCCCTGGGTAGAGTGCCATAGTGTCGCTACGCACAGCAACCTCAAACTCTTGGGCTTAAGCGATCCTCTTGCCTCAGCCTCCTAAGTAGCTGGAACAGGCTCCTACCACAACACCTGGCTATTTTTTTTTTTTTTTTTTTGGTTATAGTCGTCATTGTTGTTTGGCCGGCCAGGTCGGATTTGAACCCGCCAGCTCCAGTGTATGTGGCTGGCGCCTTAGCTGCTTGAGCTACAGGCACTGAACCTGAAAGAATGATTGATATGAGGCATAATCTCTGGCCTGGATAAAAACCCAATCTTAAAGAGGGATGACCGATAAAACAGGGTGAATGGAAAAGACTTTAGATTCCCTGGCAATTTAAACAAGAAGAATTTAAAGAATTAGATTTACAGAATAACAGAAAGTGGTTTATAGATACCACATCTCGAAAGGAGATAGGTCTATGGAATAAAATTCCAAGGAAACTGATTTTGTTACACTATTGCTAAATGCTACAAACTTAACAGTCTGATCATTGAAAAATACTCTACAGTGTGAACTTTAAGGCACAATGATTCCTAATTAGTGTTTTAATAAGTGTGTTAGCACTGCCTTGTGCCATTCTGGAATGTCACTTATGGCAAATTAAGGGACACTTTCTCTCCCTATTTTCCATTAGTATTTTAATGCTAGGAGGTGGGAAAAAGCTGATCCATATTCAAGAGGAAAGGAGAGAAAACAATAACAAATTGGCATCTCTTCTGTGAATTGCCCCACAGGCCAAGCATTTTTATGTTCTTAATCATTATTAAATGACTTAACATGACACCCAGAGCCTGGCGAATGATTGCATACTGACATGAGAACGAATTACAAATGAAATGAAAGATCAAGCCGTATTAGAGGACTGCCTCTGGGAAATGAAAATCTTTAATTCTCTTTTATTATTGACATTTATTTGGCTGCCATGAATAACAACATAGCAAAGAGATTCAGCTATGCTTGTGCGCTGAATAGCTTATCCCAGGGCTCAAAACTGCATTAACATTTATCATGTTTGCTTTTGTAGCTGACACCACTGAACAGATTCTCTATCCATCTTGTATTTATCATGCATTGCAGATATAGTGCATCCTCTAATTTAAGTTCATTTTCAGATGGTAGGAAAAGCAAAGATTAGCCAGTGTCTTTCCTCAAATAAATTCCTACTTGTAAGCATTCCTAAGAAGGGTTTAATAGATTTAATAAAGAATACAATGAGTTCACAAGGAAATTCGGTCATAGAATGGGGAGGCTAATTTTCAATTTGGGGAAAATGGCACAAATTCACAAAGAGGAAGACATTTGTGCAATATGTATATCTGGAATACGTAAAACCTTAAGATGAATGTCTCATAGAGAGAAACCAAATAGTATTTTATGAACCTGAAGGTAGTACTACAGTTCCTATAAGAAGCTTGCGTGTTTTTCACTTTTATAAACTGCTCATTGCTAAGACAGGAATACACCATATGCTGTAGGAAGAGACAGAAATTCAGACAGTTTGCATCAATGCATGGATATCCTTTCATAGTTCATTTCTTTTCTCTCTTGTACCAGTTAACAACGTGGCTTTTCCTGCTGTAAAAATAAGATCGTATAGCACCTAGTTCCTTTGCTTACATGATCCTCTTGGACTGGATTGCCCTCCTTTCTTTAAATTCTTCCTAGACTTTAAGGCTTAAGCAAGGATATCAACGGACAAGGACTGACAATTAAGTTTGCAGAATATCACTATGGTCACTGGATATACTTCCAAGGTGATCATGGTGACATTCAAGCAATGAGGTATGCAGCACTTTTTCTAGGATGAGTTTGCAACTTAATTGTCAGATTTTCTATCTTGAGAAAGCCACTCAACATCTCTGAATCTTTCTTGAAAATTTATTTTTAACTTGTCTTTTTTTTTTCTTTCTTTCTTTTTTTTTGAGACAGTCTCACTCTTTCGCCCTGGGTAGAGTGCTGTGGGTCATAATTCACAGCAACCTCAGACTCTTGGGCTCAAGAGATCCTCTTGCCTCAGTCTCCCAAGTAGCTGGGACTACAGGTGTCCACTTACGTGCCCAGCTAGTTTTTCTATTTTTAGTAGAGACAGGGCTTTGTTCTTACTTAGGCTGGTCTTGAACTCCTGAGCTCAAGCAGTCCACCTGCCTCAGCCTCCCAGAGGTTACAGGTATGAGCCATCAGGCCTGGCTCAACTGTTCTTTTTTTGGATAATTTCAAATATACACACAAGTGGAGTTAATATCATAATGACCTCCATATATCTGCTACTCAGTTTCAACAATTAATTCATGACTAGTCTTATTTCATCTATATCACTACTATACACTCACTGAATTATTTTGAAACAAATATTTTTTAAAGCAAATCTCTGAATCTTGGTTTTAACTGTTCTAAAATAAGAGAGTTGATCTATATGTATCCACATAGCCTATAACATCATGTTGTAAACCTCAAATACACATAATAAAATGTGTTTTTAAAAAGAAATAAGTAAAATTAAGAATATTGGGGTGAATTATTTCTAGGACCCCTTAGCAACAAATTCCTATTCCATCTTTGACCCTTTTCAAGCTTTATATCTAATCCAACAAAAGTTTACTTCATATTCATTGTGACATCTTTCTTCAAGCTTTATTGATCTCTTCTGAGTCAATACACCTGTACAGTTCGTACTAATAAATAAAAAGTGTAATTACACTTTACTTTTTACTCATATTTTATGGGTATGAATTTCTTTTCCCAGTTAGATCTTTAAGACTCACATCTTCTATTTCAATGTTCAGCAGAATACCGAGTAACTGCTACCATTTAAAATAATTATTAATTATTGGTTTTAATTTGATAGTTTTAACCTGGATAGTTCCAATAGAATTAAAAGGGTTATATTTTGACTTTAACAGTAGGTACCATCATATTGACAGTATTAATCATTTTCATCTATAACATACATATGTTTACAAGATAAAATTCCAATTTTTAATGTGTGCTATAAGATAGATAGCTGAGTAAAAACAAAATGAAAAATTTTTCCTTTTTTTTTTTTTGCAGTTTTTGGTCGGGGCTGGGTTTGAACCCGCCACCTCTGGCATATGGGGCCAGCGCCCTACTCCTCTGAGCCATAGGCACCACCCGAAAAATTTTTTCTTATATAACTATAGTCCAGACAGTAGAAGGGAAGAGGAGACAGATGGGAGGGGAGGGGAAAGGTAGAAGGAGGGAGGGTATTTGGGGAGGACCTCATCTAATGTGCATGATGCAATGGTACATTTCAAAACTATTAAGAAAAAAACAGTATAATTGTGATGAACGTGTTAATCAGTTCAATGTAAGCATTTCACATCGTCTATCGAATCAGTACACTGAACCCCATAAATGCATCAATGCACACAGTTAAGATTTAATAAAAACAAAAAATAAAAAAAAATTAAAAAAAAAGAAAATTTCTTCTTGACGGAAAATCTGAGGAAGTTATTTCTGAATTTTATTTGTTCATAATTCAGTACATTTATTTTATTCTAGCATAAGTATTTTACTATTAAGTAAATTCTCCTTTTCATGAAAGACATTTCTTGAGTGGAAAAATCTCCAAAATATCCAAGTAAATAAACTATAAACTAAAAATAATAATAATAATAATAATAAACTATAAACTTTGTCAATGTGGTTTTACTCAACTGAATTTAAATAAACTATCTGCTTAAAAATGAACTCTTTTCTACAGAGAGTAGGAATTTTTATTAAAAAACAGTAAAAGGTACGCTGCTTTGAATATATTATAATAGAAATGATACAGAATTTGTGTTACACATGATTAACCTCTATGATTGTGGATACCCCACACGGTCCCCCCATGTACCTGTGGCCATTATGGTGTCATCTCTCCCTTGGGTGAAGATCACAACTCGCTGCCTTTTTGAGTTCGCCTTTGGCAGGGCTTGTGTCTTTTTGGCCATCTCTTTAATGTCATTAGTCTGTTAATAAAAAGGAGGAAAAAATTCTCATAACCAGTATAGCAAAGCAAAACTTTATTTGTAGATTAATAACTTAGTTTTCATTAAAATAAGATCAAAACAGATCTAAACATCTGTTCAGAGATTATTTTTTACCATTATCTAGTGAGGATGTCAAGAGATTT